TCCAGGCATGAAGGGTTCCTTGATTAAGCCAGTCAGATCCCTGACTTGACAGAGAGGAGCCAGAGAGTATTTCACAGACGTTTTATTGCCAGGTTTGCTTCACACACATTCCAGATAAGGTTTCTGAGTTGGCTTTAGCCTGAATTTTTTTTGCTGTGCCTTGCAAAACTTCAGAATCATCTGACCTTAATTATTTGTTGTTGACTTTGGAGACTCTTTGTTTCCTGGACGCTAGGGAAAAAACACTGTCCCATATAAAATGGAAAATAAATATTTAATTGACCTCAAGGAGCAGCAGTCCTACAGGTCAAAACCTTCTCTTGTACAAGGCATGTTTTGCATGTCTTATCCTGTTTGTGTGAATGTTCTTTCAAAGATCCTGCAGACAAATGAGTTGAGTTTTTTTAACAAAGATGGGCATAAAGAATTTGCTCAAAGGTCTAATTTAATTTTTTTGAAAGCCTAAAAATGGCATTGACTCGAGCCATTTTTCTTTAATATAAGCAGAAAGGAAGTTTGGAATTTGAAAACCACAGCTTTTTTTCTGATTGCTGCCAGGAATTTTTTAAATGTACTTTTACTTTTTTAAACCAAAGGCTATAAGCACAAAGGAAATTTGGAATTTGAAAACCACAGCTTTAGAACATTTTTTGTGATTGCTGCCAGGAATTTTTTAAATGTACTTTTACTTTTTTAAACCAAAGGTGTCAGTAAGACCTTTGGCTTTAATTTTGACTGTAGGGAGCCCTTGCTCTCAAGTTTCTCTTCTTCATCTTTTGAAGATTTGTTGACCAAGCTGGTGTAAATTGGGCAGTGATGTACCTCATCTAGGCTTGCAAATACAAACTGTCTCGGTTCTGCCTAACAATTGGCAGCACGAGGATGCAAACTCTTGCTCCTTCCCCTGCCCATCACCTTGCCACGCAGGGAGGTGTGAACTTCAAAGCCAGGGAATTCTATTTAAATGCTAACGCTGTAAAGCAAAACATCAAGACAAGAATGCCTCGCTGCAGTCAGTAAGTCTTAACCCCTTCCTTGCTTTTTTACAGGCTGTATTACTGAAATATAGTTTAATAATGAAAAAATAGTTTTCCGTTCTATTAATGTTTTCCCATTTGAAAATTTTTCCTTAGTACTTTCAAGGTGAATCCTTTTGAAGGTCTCAAAGGTAGAAAAAAGTAATATAATAATTCATAATTTAACATACTCAGTAAAATGTGCCATTAGTGTGCCTTTCTTGTCAAGGTCCATTGTGTTAATGACATTTTAAATCCCTTACAACATTTTGAAGTGGAGCTTTTTGCCTGTTAGCTGCATTAGGATTGGAATGAAGGCTTCTTATATTTTCTTTGAATCGGTGTTGAAATGCATGGGCTGCATCCCATCACAGGCAGCACACAGCGTTTGAGTTGGGGCAGTCTGAGATTCCCCTTTTCCATGTTTTCTAAAACTTCCAGGCCTACTTGGCTTTCCTCAGGATAATGTTAAGGATCACTGCAGCACATAGCTGGTGCAGTGCCCAACACCAAAGCAAGTGGTAGAGATTTCACTTCCTCTGGCACAGTTCCTATAATAAACCAGATGGCCAAAAGAGATGGGATATCCCAAGGTCCCTCAGAAAAGGCATGGCAATCCTTTGGAATGAAAAAGGTGTCCAGTGTCTTTCCCCCAGGCCTGCTAGATTGTCACCTCTCTGCTGCCCCTTCCCAATCCATCTTCCCTTTTGTCTGCTTAACTGCCTGGTGAAACCACCCCGGTGATTTACTGATACAGATGGAAAACTTCCAGCCAGAGCTGCTTTTTGGGGCAGTGCCACTTTATTCAGACCTAGAGCAATTGATCAGTCTGTAGCCTTAAACTCCAGACTGATTGGAGTCTCCCCTTGCCAAAGCTTTGTGAGTGCCTCCGAGCTTCCCCTTGGATCCTCATCTCCTGGGGGGAGCTGCTGCTGGGCCTCCTTTGCGCCTTGGACCCCTTCCAGGGGGAAAGGAGGAAGTTTAGCGGGGTGCCAGGGGTGGTACCAGTGAAAGGCATTTGGCAGGGAGTGAGAATGGAGTGTTTGGGGAGGGAGGAACGATTTGCAGTGCCAAAGGAGGACGGTGGGAATGGCTGGGAGCTCTCCTGGTGCTGCCTGGGGCTCGGGGCAGCTCCCTGTGTGTGTGGCCCTGGGACAGCTGTCCCCCCAGAACACGTTGTCCTGGTGTCTGTGGAATGGCTGATCCCTGTTTGCATTCAGGAGTAACCCTGTGCTTACACATAGGTGCTGCTACTGGAATGGTGAGCTAGAAATGGAAATCTTAGAGGCCTCTTGCAAGTTCTCTCATAGAAACACTCAGCAATATGAACTGGGCAGCTCATATCTTACAGCTTCCCTTCCCACGTTTGTCATTCTCCATCCCGTATGCTGAAGGAGTAAACCACTGTACTCTGCTTCCCCTTAGGGCTGAACTATTTTAAACTGCTTTTTTTAGGCGCCAGAGAATAAAAGTCAGCCACCTTGAGGTCAATTTTATTGCTGGAAACTGCTTGGGAAAGCCTCAAATGTTGCCTGCACAGGGAGTGCAGCAGCACAAGGTGCACCTGCATGCTGTGTGCAGGGCTCAGTCACATGCAGAAGTAATAAATAATTTGATTTGTATGTGAACTCGTTCAAATCTGGCACGCTGGATTGCCTGGGGTGCAAGTGACCCCATAACACCAGCTAGTATGGTTGAGTAGTTCCCAGAACAGAGGTTGCTGTGGGTTTTTGTTTGGGTTTTTTGGTTTTGTTTTGCTTTTTTGAGGGGATGGTGATTTTTGATTTTTAGGGTTGTGTGGGTTTTAAAGAAAATTTTTTTGGTGGCATTTTTATGTTCTGTGTGAGTGCATTTTCGTGTGGTTTCTTGTGTTGGTCTGTGGTTTCTGTAAGTGTGGTTTTGTGTGTATTGTGATGGGTTTTGTGGGTTCGGTACATGCCTCTGTTGGGTTTTGTGGGGTTTGGGGATTTTATATGTACTTTTACTTCTCTTCATGTACCGAGGCTTTTGAGTTGTTTTGAGAGGCTTGGAAGAGTTTTGGTAATTTTTTTCATTTGGGTATTTTTTTTGGCAGATTGCATATTTTCAGGGGTTGGTTGTGGTGTTTCTTATGGGTTTGGGTTTTTTCTGTTATTTTTAGGGAGCCTGGTGGGATTTTTTTTTTTTTTTTTTTTTTTTTTTTTGGTGGGGGGGACTTATGTGTTCTGTATTTGCCTTTGAGTGTGCTCATGCTTTGGGTTCTGTGGGGTTTTTTGTGCCTTCAGGTTGTGGTGTTGTGTTGGTTTGTGGTGTTTCTCCACGAGCCTTTGTGTGTGTGTTCTTGTGTTGATTTGTGGGTTTCGTGGTTTGTGTGTGTGCTTTTGTGTGCATTCCTGTGGTGGGACGGGGAGTTTGTGCTTTCTTCATCTTCTTGTGTGGGTTTGAGGGGTTTTGTGGTTGCTGTGCGTGTTCTTCTGTGAGTTTGTGGTTTCAGTGTGAATGTTTTTGCCTGGGTTTGGGGTTCTGTGTGTGTTTTCAGTGTGTTTGTTCATGTATGGGGTTTATGAGGGGTTTTTATTTTGTGTGTTTCTTGTGGTTTCTGTGCTTCTGTGGTTTTTCTTTAGTGTGTTCATCTGGAGTTTCTGTGGTATGCTGGGGATATATGTGGGGGGTTTTCCGGTTTTACAATTCCACAATATTCATAAAGAATTCTTTTTGGCTTTCTTGTGGTTTAACCTTGTTTTTTCTACATCAGTAGCAAAATAAATCTAATAAAAGGATAGACTTTTTAAACTTTATGTATGAGGCTGTATTTTAGGATTTTGAAATTGCAATTTCCACGTCTTCAACCATGCTGGGAGGAAGGAGGGATAGAATATATCCATGATTGTAAGGTCAAATCCTAACAATATGATTTTTCTCTGATTTTCCACATCATTTTTGCTGCTTGCAGTTGATTGCAAAAGCTGAAAGGATGCGGCTGGAGAAGACTCAACAAACAAGCAAACACATTCGCTTCACTGATGACAACTAACCAGGGGAGGGTGAGCTTGGAAGTGAACTGCAGCTCTTGCAGACAGAACATCCAGCACCAGCCCTCACAACCACTGCTGCTTACAGCAACTCAACCCGGGCCCTTGGATCCATAACTCTGCAGACTGCAAGTGTGAAGATTGGTTCTGAATCCCATTTTTAATAGGCTGAATGTTTACTGCTTCTGAGCCCTTAGGTAAAGCTTTTTGGAACATGTGTATTATGAGGTCTTCCTTTGGTTCACTTTCAGTTTGTTGAGATTTTCTTTTTTTTTCTTTTGTTTTGTTTTGGGGTTGGTTTTTTTTTTTGTATGTTTTATACACTAGGTTATAAAATAAAATGCTTGAGAATTTCAGTTGTGTATCTCTAATTCTTCCATTTGCTTTTTATGATACTATAAATAATAAACGTGGTAAATGCTACATAAACCTCTCTAGGCCTCTTTTTAGTCCATCAAGCTGTTTCAAAAGAGAAGAAAACAATCTTCTGTTATTTTCAAGTGGGTAGGGCTGGTAGGAAATCTGCCATTGAGGAGTTTGGAAGGAAATTTACTTATATAAATGCACACTAAACTGAATTTAGACTTTTTTATTTTTTAGAGGAATCTTCAGAAGAAGAAATAAGAGTGTGTTTGGTACATCTCGTTACTCACTTCCAGATAAGTGTTCAAGTTGTATAATTCACGAGTTAGGATGGTGATTTTAATGGCTTTAAGGTATTTCGTGGAGGACCAGCAATCTGAAAAAGAGGAAAATTAAACGTGGAATTGGAATTCTCCACAAGGTTTCACTTCTGTTTGACTGAGTCTGCTGGTGGGGCAGGATTAAATGGAGAAGGAATAGACAGCAAGAGTACAGAGGGGAAAGTGCAAGATAAGGGAGCAGCTTTGGGGCGGGAGGGGAAGAGCTTGCTGATGGTTCTTGGGAATGGTGTATGGAGGATTCCTGCCACAGGGCTGCAGGGGAGGAGCAGGAACAGGCCTGTATGCCAGGCACTCCTGCAGTGTTCCTGTTTAGTCCAGTTGCAGCATTTTGAATTTATTATTATCAAATCTCTAACTCTTCTCTTCCTGGGTAGGTGAGAGATTGTGTGACATGGCAGAGAGGAGTATTTTGAATTTATTATTATCAAATCTTTAGCTAACTCTTCTCTTCCTGGGTAGGTGAGAGATTGTGTGACATGGCAGAGAGGAGTTTTCATACCCAGCTGTGGAAAGAATTGATCAGTGAATGTCTTCTAGGCATCCAGCCTGAAAGACAGGAGGGTTATTTTTTTTCCTTTATCCCTTTGTGATGTGAGGAAAAAATAAACCCCACAGCCTACCCTGGGTAAAATGCTTGGGATTTTGCTGCTGAAATTCATTTAAGTCAAAAATATATCTGCTTTATGAATAATTTAGGTCATAAATGATTCAGAATTTTTATGTTTGGTGGAGAGTGGAACAGAACTGCAAAAGTGTGAGTTTGGGAGTTTTGCTCGTTTATTAATAATTCCTGACTTGAGCACATAGAAGTCACCCTTCTGTTTCTTTCCATATTTATGCAGGTTAATTCCTTACACTTAAACATCAATTTTCTTCTTCTCCTTTTCCAAACTAGTGGAGCAATCTGCTCCAGCAGAGAAGGCCAGTTAGTGTTTAATACTTCCTCAAGGAGTTAATAACAGAATTTTTGCCACTTAATTCAGAAGTCAGGAACGGAGAGGATGGCCTAGATGTTTTTACAAAAGAAGCCTGGATTCTCAAGTGTGCCAGAATGGTTTGTGTATTTTTTCTTTAAGTACAAATGACAATGAATTGCTGCTGTTGTCTTTCCCCATCCGGCTGAGTTTTACCAGCCCAAGAATTGCATCCCTAAAGCAACTTCTGTTTGACCTCTAGGAGCTTCCCACACTGACATTTTCCTTTCTTTTCCCTCAATAAATTAATTTCATTTAGAAATTCAGGACGACCCTGTAAAACTGTAGGAATTGTTAACCTTGGAGTGCTCCTTTGTTGTTGCTGATTTTTCTGTCTCCCCGGACTGCGTGTTTTGAAATAGCATCATTACATTGCCATCCATCTGCCTGGAGCAGAACCCAGCATTGATTCTGCTCTTTGTGACCCAGCACGGGGCTGAATCTGAAATTATTTTTAGCACTCATATTTTTACCTCTCTTCCACGAGTTGCAGACCGTGCATGGCAGCAGCAGGACTGGTTTTAGTGGAACACATGCCTGATACTCCAGGATGACTGGATCTGCTGGTTTTCAGTAACCAGTGGCTCCCACTCAGCCCAGTATCCCACTGACACATGGTGCTGCTACCCCACTGTCCCTGCAATGTGGAAAGGCCTTTTTACACTTGATTTTGAACCTTTGGTTAAGGTTTGTCTGACTGGCCTCATCCTACCATCACCTGGAGCAAGCCCGTTCTGCCTGGTTTATTTTACACAACTAATACTTGTGTTTTGGGAGGTTTTTCCCCTTAAGATATTCACTGTACCCTAGTTTAAGACAGACTTCAAGGCATCCTTGAAAGGCAGCAGGTAAGTACATTATCTTCTTCTAGAGAGGCTCTAAATCACATTAGAAAATTACCTTCTGATAGATGACAAAGGCACTTGCCTGCCCAGGTCCCTGAAAACATGGGTCAGTGTCATAATTGCTTTCTTAACGGGACCACGGTGTCTAATGATCCCGGGCAGGATTAAATCATGGGAATAATGCTGCACAGGGCTGGAAAAATAATTAGATCAGCGATGCTTGGGTGCCTTTGAGATTGCCTGAGTGAGGCAGTAAGTAATGCAGTTACCTTACCTACCAGGGATGGCTCTGCTGTGGATGCTGTCAGGAAGCTGCCAGCTCCCAGGGGCTTGGCAGCACACAAGTGTCCCTCAGTTCACAGCAGAGCCAGGCCAGCTCTTTATTCATCCCTGCCTTTGCTGGGGTGGTGCTGACGGCATTCTTGGCACTCGGAGCTGTCACCCAAGTCACACCAGTGCCGGCAAAAGCCGGGACAAAACGGAGCAGGAGAAGCTGGGAAAGCTTTGCTGGCCGTTGCCAGGGTGACTGGGTTTGTGCTGGACAAACACTGCTGTGCTTTTCTCGCCTTGTGGCATTTTGAGTGCAACCAAACAAACTCCTCAAGAGGCAAAACAAGTGGGAGAGGGGTGAAGGGAAAGGACAAACCAGCTCTGGCACTTGGCAGTGAGTGGGCAGAGGGGCTGCCTGGGGTCTCTCTCTCCTGGCCCCTTGTGCACCCCTTGGAGGCAGCTTGCCGCAGGAATGCTGTTTCCAAATGTTTCCTTGCAGTGTGCAGTCCTGGTGATTTGTGTGAAAGAAGGCACTTGGAATGCAGTGAGGAGTGTGATGGGAAATGCTTTCTAGTGTGGTGTGATTTAATAAAGGCTGTTTGACTGCCCCTTTGACCATTCTGGGCTGGAGCAGGGACTTCAGCTCTATCATATTTCATGGTTTTTAGGTTTTTTTTTTTTACTCTTTTTCCAGACTTTTCTTTCCCTATGTGTTGGACACAGGTGACAGCCCCAGGAGGTGACCATGGGACAGGGAGGCTCCTGCCTGGGCTGAGGGCCCTCCCGGGACCAGCAGAGGGCAAAGCTGCTCCAGCTGTCCTGGGCTGGAGGCACCGACAGTGCCGGGAGCCGCTGGGCTATCCCCTAGATGAAGCTGTGTACTTGTATTTTGGGCAAGGAGAATGGTCCGTTTCTCCTACCCCCTGAGTGAGGTATGGAGCAGATATGGCTGAACACCTTTTTACCTCCGTGCCTTATGCAATTTTCTTCTTTGTTTTGGTTTGTTCTCCCTCGCCATGGCTGGTGCTTCTCTTTCTCCTCCTTGTTACCCATGGAAACATTCTGTTACAAAAAGTAGCTTTTTGTTAGAACCGCTCTCAGATCCGGTGCCTCAATAGGTAAATTCTTGCAAGGTTTGGCCTTGAAAGCCTTTTCCACGTGTACAAATACAAAGTGTACTTGACCTGTTGGTTCAGGCCTGCGTATGCACCAAAGTAATTTTTGATGTAAAAGCAGAACTGTGGAAAAAACACAGTCAGTATCTTGAAAAAATAAAGCAAGATGGAATTAATTTCGCTTTTCTTATTGGTTTACACAGTCTTCCTTTTCCTTTACTGTCTTCCTATCATGCCTATTCCTTGTCTCTTTGCTGCCAGGATCAAAGGTGAACCTCTTTCCCTCCAATTCCCCTCTCATCACCTCCTTATCCACCAGCATCTCCGAAACTCTCCAGCTCTGATCCATGTGCTTTTGCCACGCTCTTACACTGATGGAAAAACCAGAACAACGTGATTACAATCAAGGCAAAACATTGAAGATTGCTTGGGTGTTGCAACATGCAGCTGTGCAGCCTGCCTGGGTTTGTGCTGCAGCTAGAGATGTATTTCTATAGCCACCTCTTTGCCTCAGTACAACTAAATATAGGTACAGCTGCAGCAGAGAGCTGGTCAGCAGCAGCTTCCAGCAGGGAGACACACGCAGAGCCACTTTGCAGCTTTTAAGCCTGAATTTGGCACCACATCCCCTGTTTCAGGTGCCCTGATTACCACTCCTGTGCTGTATTTTATAGCCCGTTCTTTGTCCAAGTGTTTTATCATGGGCATGTAGCTGGGTTGCAGTCTTGCCTTTAGGGAGACATGACAGTGTGGCCCACTCTTTTAAACGCCTACTCTTGCGTTGTTGGTTGGGAACTTCATGTTTATTTTGTCCTCAATTATGTGTATATAATTATATATATATATGTCTACTTTCTTTTGTTGTGCAAAAGCAACCATTTTAAGGGAAATTCAAATGGATCAAAGCGAGTGGTGCATGCAGAAGAGAGAGCCCTTCCTTGGGAGCTTCCTGAAGAGTTCTTATTGGAAAGAGGTGGCTGGAACTTTCACAATGTGGAGGTATGGCTGTGAGAGCTAATGCTAAGTGTGGTCTCATGGTATATGGAGAGGATAACTTGTCCTTTGGATGTGAGGTGGCACTTCATGGTAGGAAATGGAGCTATTCCTGTGGTGGTGGGTGAGGCAGGGACTAGGGGAGCTGGCATCCTCTACTGGGAAGAGACAGGCTTGCCCAGAAAATGTTCTCTCTCCACTCTCCTGGTGGGAAGGCTGCTGGATGGCAGACAGTGTGTCCTGCAGTGTGGGCACATTTCATCAACCTGTTTCACCACAGTGGTTCTGATTTTGGCCTTTCCAAATCTCCGTGGCTTCCTCATCCAGAGAGGTCCTGACCCGTGATCAAAGGGTTAATTTTAAAACAGTTTTTTTTCTCTCATGTCTCAGCACTGCCTGGCTTTAGCTGTGATGGGGATGAGAAGTGACAAGCTGCCACAGGGGAGCTGTTCTCTTGGGGTTTGCATCATGCTTAAAGCTCGACTGGAAACCTTCCAAGAGGAGCTGACCTGGCAACACCAGCTTGACCAAGCAACTCTGCTTCCCAATGAGATGGGCTTCTCAGTTTTTGGTCTTCCTGAGAAGGACATGATGGTGGCTCTGTGCAGAGGCAGGGCACACCCTTGTGCACATGTGGCCGTGGATCACTGAGAATCTGACTGATGTTCTTGGTCTCAGCAGGCTGATTCCGTGTTTCCAACTGAAATGGCCAGTTAATAATTACATTAAATAATAGCCATCTGAGAAGCATGCAAGACAAAAATCTAGTGAGACCACATACTTGCTTAGAGTTTTTTGGTTTTTTAAGTCAATTCAAGAAGCCTTTTCATGCAGCACAAGAGCCTCTTCTGCTATTTCAAAGTTTAGCACAGGAAGTCGATGCACACAAGTATAGATGCAGGTTCCAACATCTATCTTCTGCATAATATCAAAATCTAAACGAGGATCTCGACATTTGGACAGGACAAGACAAAAGGCTAAAGCCGGTCTGTGGCTTTCAATATCAAAGTCCAAAGCCCAGCATAATGTGACATTAATCTATGCGATAGCATGGGCAGCTTGAGGCCCATCAGGTCCATCTGATGAGGTTCTGCCACCATCCCATCTGTTTTGTATTCATCTGTCACTGAGACTCGGAGCCACTGGAGAGGAAAAAGAACTGGCAGTGTCATGCTGTGGTTTTTCAACATCATTACAAGCAGTGTGGGAATTGCTAGGGGTTGATTCCTGGTGCTTGTCAGGGGCATACAAACGTTATGTGGGGGAAAGCCCACTAGATCTATAAATACCACTCCATCCAAGGAGTAAACACTGTTGTTATCCATCAGGATTTCTAGACCAAAATCGTCTTTCAGCTCTTCCTGAGCTAGAGGAAGATGGATGGATGTGTCAGCTTCCCCCTGCTCCAGTCTGAATCCTGCTGTACAGTACAGCCACTAGAGGAAAAGTGTGCGGTGGGGACTCCCTTAGCTGCAATGTGCTGGTATCGCTCCGTGCACTTGTCTTAAAACAAATGAGATGAAGATTTGGCTAGCAGCAGATGTTCAAAGGAGGAACAAATCAGAGCAGCCGTATACCCAGTGGGACTGAGGTTTCCTTGAACTCAGCACACATCTCCAGCAGTTGGCACTTGGAAGATGGAAAAAAAAGGGAAAAACAGATGCTGAAAGTACCCTGAAATAGCCCCTGAGCCTCTGGAGGGCAAAGTATGTCTTTTAACTCCTGCTTATTATCCCTTCTAGTGGGCTCTTTTCCAGTCCTTACTGAAGAGTAAATGCTTTTTCTGTGTATTCCCTGCGGGCTGCCCTACTTTACATCATCACCTTGGTGATGGAAAACACCGTCCTCTGCGGAACCTGCCTGTCACGATTCCTGATTTTCTTTCGGAGGTGAGGAAGCGAAGCCCGGAGCCCGCTGCAGTCCCTGGGCAGCCCCAGTTCAGCGCGGCGCGGCGGGGGCTGCGGCTCCGGGAGGCGAGCGCAGCAGGCACACAGAAGTATTTCGGGCACGGCAGGCGGGTCGTGGCACGGCTGGCCGCTCCCACCCTCTCCGTGGCGCCTTTGTTCTCGGGCAGTTTCCATGGTGCCCCGCTTTGCGGGCAGACCTGTGTGCAGGCTGCGCTCGTTTCCCGGGGCGGCGCATCCCGGCTGCGGAGCTGCCAGGGTCAGCCGCACAGGCATCCTGCAGCCTGCCTCGCTGGCATGCCTTTGGGAGCACGGGCTGAGGGTTTGGAACGCAACTGCGTGGTTATAGGTGAGAATTCAGCTCAGCTTTTGGCCTGTCACCATTTGCAAAATCAGAGGAGGGCCCTCACCCAAAGGGGTTGTTGCTGTGAAATGAAAAAGCAGTAGAGGCATGACAAGAAGGAGCAGCCATGCTGCTTGCTGCAGCATTCAGATTTTATCTTCATCTGGCACGGGCGAGACAGCTGATCTGTACACGTACCACACAGCATCGTTCCCCTCGCACAGAGCTCCTTCATCTGTTATCTCGCTGTTAGTTCTCTGCTGATTGTTCTGATGCCTGAGCACTGCCCGCCCTGAACGGCATCAGCAGGGAGGAACTGGTCCTTATGTCAGGTACAGAGCCAGGGGGCTGAGTAACCTGGCCGCAGGTATTTATGCCCAGGGATGGTATCCCTCGGGAAAAACCCCGATCACAGTAGAGTGCTTAGAGCCCGCTACTAGGAATATTTCGGCGAGAAAAGCAGTTTCGTGGATCTTACAGGCTGTTCATCCAAGAGGAAGTGGAGTGTAAAATCACTGCCCAAGTGGAAAAGTAGGCGAAAGGGCAAAGCTGTGCCCAAGGGGGGATTCTAACTCCAGGAGAGAGTACTTTAAGTGGTGGCAACAAGGCTGGAGGTCTGTTAGCAGGCTGTGCACAGGAATGAAATTTAACCCAGGACCTGAACATATCAATGAGAAATTAAACTATATTAGAGTTAATATCGAAATACAGAAACAATCTCCTCAAGGACACAAGAGATGTCCTCATCACAAAAACTCAATTCTTGGAGCAGAAAAATGGTTTTCTTCATTAAGGTGAAGCTTGTACTCTGTGTTGGGATGGAATGGGCTGCTCCCTAAAGCTGAACATGGAAATGAACCATTCTCGGTCTTGGCAGAGGTTTTCAAGGATGCTAGGAAATTATAATGCCCAATTAGGTAGGAATTGATCATCCAAGTCCCTTAGACAGTCCTGAAAATCACAGCCACTCTGTACTGCAACCAATTTTCAGTCAGATTTTTTCCTTCTGCTACCCTTTTGCCTCCTCTCCCTGTGCCATCGCCAGCTCCTGCTGGCCTGGAGCTGTGGCTGAAGCCAAAGCTAAGGAACCTGGCTTGGAAACGTGGCATTCAAGCAGCCTTGGTTGTGATAGGAGACGAGGTAATCTGTTCCTGCTGAGGCCATTCAGAACCAGAGCCGTTTTTTTTTCCTACCCTCTCACTTTTGGCCCATTTTTGTACCTCTGATGTGAGAACGCTACGCCAGATCAGTGGTGGAAAAGGGTGGGGTTTTTTTGGGAATGGTGGGAGCCACAGGGAGCCTCTCTTGAGTAGATTAACTTCCTAGATACCCTGGGAATTTTATTATGTCCTTGATTTCTTCCCCAGCAGCTCCATTCTTAGAATGGGTTGTACTTGAGTGCACAGGTAAGGACAGCCTTTCACCTGGCAAAGGTTTGGGCGATAAGAAAGGAGCAAGAGAACCTGATTATTTTGGAAGTGGTAAAATTGATCTGGAAGAAACCAGAAGGGAAACTCAGTTCTGAGTGTGAGCAGGAACAGTATTCCAAGCTTCCCTGGGAGAAAATATTTGAAATACAGGACATGTGGTCATGGGCAGAATATTGCTTTCCTCTCATCAGGGACTTGGTTTTCCTCTAACTCCCTCTGCTCCACCCTTCTCGATAACCAAGTCCCCATCACCTATTACCAGATGTTATGGCTTCTCAGCCTTCCTTGTCATCCAGATCCATCCAGCCTGGAGCTTGCTGGAGATGTGCTGGTACTTCCCAGGAATAAACCTGTCGGTTGTGCACGAGTCAGTTTGGCAGGATCTGAGGAAGAGATGTGCCCTGGTGGGACAGAGGTGACTTGGACAGACATTCCTTCTGGATGCCCCAGGACATGGAGGGTGCTAACAGCAGCAAGGCAAGCAGGTGAAACTTTGCTTTTAGATGGTTTTGGAGGAATGTCCTCTACACCTGCAGCGTTCCACAAGTGAGTAACACCAGTGCTTTCCCTTCCCACAGCCGGTGGCTCCTGTTCAGCCAAAGACATGCCAGGTGTTACAAAAGGCTGCCAAGGCATCAGCAGGGAATGGATGTAGGGACACGGTGCTGGAGGTGGGACTTAAAGGTATTGGCTAAATCCCTACGCAAATGCGACTCAGTCGTTATTAAATTAATTAGCAGGTTGGAGTAAATTTAGCATCTCCCTAATGCGCTGGAAATCATGGTGACTTTGGAGCTCCCCAGGGCTGGTTTGAGCTGATGGTACCGGGATGCAGGAAGGCTGATGGGATGACAGGCTGGGACAGGGCATCCGTGCCACTTTTACAAAGGAATAAATGTTGATTAGCAGCTTTCCAACACCTCGTGCTAAAGAACAAGCTATTTTTGGAAAGGAACTTGAGTGCAGCAGCAAATTCATTCTCTGCTGAATAAGGGGATCATTTGTTTTAATAGCAGATTGCTCTGTTAAGGAGACAGGGATTTTGGTGAGGATTTGTGACACACTTAAATGCGAGTGAGTGAAGGTTTCCTTGGGCAGAAGGGAAGGTAGGGGTGTAGTGAGCTCCCGTGGTTGAAACTTGGGGATAAATTAGTGTCATTAATCATTGGAACCACTTGCCTAGGGATGGAATGAATTTATCTTAACTTTGTTATTTTAAATCGCTTTCCTGATGTGCATATTGTAGCTTCACCAGCTGTTCGGGGTTTGTTTTCGAGGGAAATTGTATTCCCAGAAATTCTTGTCATATGTGGGAGATCAGGCTCTTTG